CCAGAAGTCCTTGGGAAAATGATAAAAATGGTCCCGCCAGGTTGCATTATGGTCACATTTTTTTTATTTTTACCAGCCATTACAATCTTTCAACAAAATGGTTGCTTCATTGAATATGGATTCATGTAAATTTCTGGCACCGACTCTGCGTTACCTCCTCTAGAACACACAAGTTTAATTTTTTATTTTTTACTTTTTTTCCAGTGTGCACACTTCACTGCCACACCAAAAAATTTGCTTTCCTTTTCCCTCTGGCAGCATATGCATTTTTCTTTCTGACTAATGTGCGGAATCTGTACCCTGACTTGCACATAAAAACACAGCCAGAACAACAGAAGAGCAGTAGCTGAGCACACACATCTTATTTTTATGATGGCTTTTAATCTTAGTTTGCCAGCAAACACAGGCTTTCTTACCTAGCCATATAAAAATGCTTTTTTTGTTAATTGTGTCTCTGATTGCTAGCCTGTTGCAAAGAGAAACTGGGAAACCTGACACTAACAGAGTAAAACAATCAGCAATGGTTAATGGCTAAATCACATTAGAAGTGTTCATTAATTAAAATCTCTTGAATCTCTTTGCAGTCCATATTTAATCTCAGGGTCATTAGCATTGCAAAAGTGTACCTTAGGAAAAAAAATGCAGAAAGTTTTTTAAGTAAACATCTTAAAATTTGCCTCATCTACCAAAAAAAATGGTTTTGTTTTACATAAGGCAATATTAGGTACAAAAAGAAAAAAAGAAACAGTGATTATGTTGTTGGGCCAGATTATATAAAACTGCTGTATTATTGTAATTAGGACAACAGTGACTTGGACTATAATAGTGGCTTTCTTGTAAAAATGGCACCATTTCAAATTTCTGGTCTCTTGCTAAATGAGTTTGTTGTAGCATTGACAAAGAAACAAACACAAGCCAAATCCAGTCAAAATTAAACACAAACAGAAACCTTAGCTGTTTATTTGCAGGGTAGAACCCAGAATGTTGTTTCTCAGAGCATTTACTTAATAAATGCCCTTGCCTGCATTCTCACTGCTTTTTCGATGCAAAATTCTTATCTTTAAAACTTTAAGCACATTAAGCATGTAAAAAATATTTATTTACATGTGGTTTCTAACTGCAGTCTCTGTTGTGGAGTAAAATCCTACTTAAATATTGATAATCCAAAGCTCTACACCAAAGTAGGGAGAGTTCTGCTGCGTTCAGGAGATTGCCTAAATAACGGCCATGGTGGCTGAGGGTTCCTTTCTTCTGCATTACTTTTCACTATCAAAAGTCTCCCAGTTCTTAAAATCTTTTGATCATGCTTAATTGAAAAGTCCTGTATAGTTGCCCTTTAGTAGGTTGCTGCTTCTTCTGGACCCTGAGCATCTTGCAGTGGAACCAGAGCAGCTCTGATGTGGCACCATCCTCTGCAGCTGCAGAGGGGACAGAGTCTGCTCCTTTATGTGCTTCTTATTGCAGAATGAACATAGTAAGGTGGCAGGTTTCACACCTGCAGAAAATTTCATTCCAGGCATAAAACAAAAAAATTAAAATTAAAGATGATAAATTTTAAACTATGTAAAGCTTAACTAATTTCAATAGTGGAAGTAATTTCTTTAATTTCTGTTTCCTGATTGCTTACGTCTTTCATAAACAATTTTCATCAATAAGATTGCTGGGAGTAAAATACTGAATTTGACAGACCTTCTCAGAACCGTGTGTATGACGCTCGGAAATGAAGTGCTGAGTGGCAGAGACTGGCAGGGTAAGAAATTGATTTCTAGAAGCTGGGAGAGTATTTTATTTTTCCATTCCCTTCATTAGTTTTATTAAGCGAGATTATAGTCGTACTTCAAGTGACCTTTAAGGGAAAGAAATAGAAGGATGTGCCATTTTCCCCCTCCTTTTGTGTATATAAACAGTGAATGGGAGTAATTACTATTACATATGTATAAATTTCAGATAAGTTTGGGACCTCGGTAACTGATTAAATTATTTTATATCACAAGAAAAAAAAAATCTTGAGAGCTGAGCATCAGGCTTGGAAGCAATGTTAGACAGTGATTGCCTCTTTTTATTAAGGCATATTCAACTTTAATGTGTAATGAACACTTGGGATAAAGGATGCGTTTATCAAAGAATCAGCAGACCCATTTAAGTTTTGAAATCTTGAAATAAATATCTATAGAAGTCTTCAGGAATTCTCAAGTGAAATAAGAAAAGAATAGACATATATCAAATCTTTCTAAACAAGCAATGTAATTATTTCTGAAGTCCTTTGAAATGAGAGCCAGCTAGGCAAATCAAACACAATCTCAAAGAAGTCAACAGTTTCGCTTTATTTTCCTTTGTGTATAAAGTATATTGTGGAAACAAAATGGAACAGCCTAGATAAAATACTCTTACCAAATTTTTCAGTGTTCTGTGATGAGCCTTATCATATTCCAGCCCCGTGTGATGTTCTGCACAAATCTCTTCTGTTTTAGAAGGTTACAAAACACAGTTCTTATGGCAGCAGCCTTGTACCTCACCTGCCATTGGCATCGGCGTCCAGCTGGAGGAAGCCCTGACCTCCACGGTCATGTTTGGTCTCACGTGTGGGCCCACGGCTGTGAACTGTGGGGCCTGGTCCTGCTGGGATGGTGGGGCTGTAGCCCAGTTCTGTGGTACAGCTTGGCTGGGAGGTTGCTGTCTGTGGGAGCAACCAAATAGAGACCGTGTAACCGGTCTGTGAGTTACAGAAGGGAAGGCAACAAAACTTAAATACGTGAGACTACTCTAACAGCTACATCTTTTCATGCTTTGTGACTACTGTGGGCAAGCCTTTTGTTCCTCTGTTCCTGCAGTATTCCACACTCAAGCTTCCTGCATACTTCCTTGTCATTGTTCCCTATTTCATTTATTTTCTGTAGCATATGCTATGGCCTCTGAGTGTGCCCCGTGGTTGCTTCCCTGTTATGTTTTTATTCTCCTGTATGTGGAGGAGAATAAAATTCAGGATATCATCTACAGGCTGAGGCTGTGTACTTGCTGCAAGGCTGGGGACCACGTTTGTGTCATATATCCCCTTTATCATTTTCACTCAAAGCTACCAGGCGTTGTCTGGTAGTATCTGGGTATACAACTGAATTTGTAATTGGTCAGACAACAAATTTCCCATGGTAATTGCTTACAAACCAGCCATCAAGTTGAGGATAAAGTCCATTTCTCATGCCTGGTGGCAGGTTAAAGATTGTTATATCAAAGGTTAGGTATAAGATCACCTTTCAACATCAAAAGCAGTTAGGCTTCAAAGCATGAGCAGTTGACGTGCTTTGTAAGAACAGGTTCAGCAAGTGTCTGTCAAAGATAGATGCAACATTATATTCATCAGCATCTCACTCCTCTTCCGCATGGTGAGCATCCACTAAAGCTGTGTGGGTTCTTCTGGACCCTGCTGAGTAGCAGGAGAGGCTGGTGGGGCACTTTCCTGCCAGATGGGGCCATGGCAGAGCTTGCACAACTGCCAGCTGATCTTCCTCCCTCTGTTGATGTTCTCTCCCTGTAAGAACAGATAAATACATACCAGTAGCCAAAATAATTGACCGGTACAAGCCATGGGCATTTGTTTTTCTCCAATGTGATATATTTCTGCAACCCACGTTTCCTCCCATGGGAATTTTCCCATTGTTCCCATGTAGCAGACCCTCCACATCTTCAAGCACCGCAGAGCTTCCACTGTGAATGAGGTGTTGGCCATCCCTCTAAACGTTCCCAAATCCTGCCAGCCCCATAGCTTGCCCTGATCCTCGGAGTGACCAGGTGGGAAACCCTGAAATAGAAGCTGTTGGGTGTTGCACAAATTATCTCTAAATATAGAAATATTTCTCAAATAACTTGCATGTATTGTAATGCAGAAAACTGCCCACAGCGATGGCAGTGATGTGCCATAGAGAAAAAGAAGAAAAGAGGGCACAATCCAAGGAGATGCCAAAGGGATCTTTTCCCTCTTTAGTTTCCTGTTCCTGTCCTGAGGCGTTGTGTCATTTTGGGTTGGCAGCACCCGGAGGGTGAGAGGGAAGAGAGGGTGAATTTTATTGGCATATTCAGATTCAGAAAGGGGGTATTTTGGTGGGTGCTATAATTCTTTTCCTTTCTGAACATAAGGAACGTAATTCAGCCCTTAACCTCTCTCCTACTCTTGTTTTCTCTCCCTCTGTAGATCCTGGCTTCATTGTTAGCCTAATTAATGTCATCATTATATTTTTAAGTCATCCAAAAAAGCCCTCTCTGCAGCAAGCTTAATGTAACCTACTGAATTTCATTCGATCTTGCTTCTTACAGAAATGGGAGTGCTGTGTTGCCTAAGAAATAAAAAGGGCAATTTCCTTAATTTTTTCTTCCATTTTTTGGACAGAGTATGGAATTTATAACTCTGGCTAGACAATGGCCCCCTCAGTGCCAGAGACTCGTTTCAGAGACAATAGATGTTGTCCTGACTCTGTCACTGTGGCCACATCAAGCCGTTATTATGGCTGCAAGCCAAGAAAAGAGAAAAGAACCCTTTTTATTATTGCTTTTCTATGCAGTCTCTGTAACTTGGCAAGGTTCTTTCAAATGTGATTTTGCGAATCTTAAATGCAACATATTATATTGTATTATTAACCTTGTATTTCGTATCCCTTTGATATGATTCCTTTGCAAATGCTTGAAGTCTACACAGATCTATCAGGTAGCTTTAAATGCATTCTACAAAGAAACCTTAAATAATACAATTGCTAAAAAGGTTTTTCCTTTACCCAGAAATTCAGTCTGCTGGCATATATCATGTTGAAGGAAAATGTTTTGTTTGTGTTCCACAAGTAATATTTATAGTTGTTACTGATGTTTTTTCTTCTCTTATTACTGTCATACACCTCATAAATTTCTTTGGAGTTTCAAGGAAATTATTTTTTGTTTCAAATTATTTTTTGAGTAAGTTATGCATGTTTCTAGTAAGAATGTAAATGTTAATTGTGTGTATTCTTTTTATTTAGGCACCTTTGTAACTAAAGTCACAGCCACAGATGCAGATGATCCAGTTTATGGAAATAGTGCCAAGCTGGTTTATAGCATCCTGGAAGGACAGCCTTACTTTTCTATTGAGCCACACACAGGTAGGTGGCTCTGAATGTCCCTGGGGTATATTTACACGGGTGACCTTGGCTCTTACATATATAATGTACTTAAACAAGAAGCATAAGTAGATGGCTGTCAGTATTACTGAGTTGTGACACGTCTCAGTTATATTCTGTTCTAGTCTGATCACGTGAGAAGACAAAGAAAAATCTGTATTAATGCTAATGCAAGTAATGATGATGCTAATATTACAGAAGTCACTGAAGCAAAGCTGAAGGCGGTGGAAATGCCTTGTGACTGCTGACTGGTTAGGGACTGAAAGACTTGGCCTGAGGAGTTTAATGAGCATCATGTAATTTTCAGTATGAGACTATAATATTTCCAGTTAAAGAAAGTACAGTTTGACCTGGGAATTTTAGTGACTATATTGGGTGTTTTCATTAAAAATTGTTTTTCTTTCTTAATTGGATGAATTGGGGGAAAGAAAGAACACGACACTCAGTATTGGTATGAAGTTTTTTTAGTATGTGTTTAAAATGACTTCATTTCTCCCTGGGTTTGAAGTCTTGAAAGTCATCTGAAAGAAGTGCCTATAAATCCATTTCCTCTTGTTTTCTGTACATATGTCATACTCACAGCAAATTCATTTAATTACAGCTGAGAAATGCTTTTTTAAAGTGATTTGATATTATTTCTTGTATTCTTTCACCTGTTACTAAAAGTTGTTTTTAATCCCTGTGTGTCAAGCAGCTGTGGTCTCTTAAGGAGAACAAAACTGTAACTCATTTTAAAACATGCAAAACTCCATCTGAATTTATATGACCATAAAGGAGTAAAGCAGGAGTAAAAATTCTTGTCCTCATGCAGATCGGCAAAATTATGAAATAAATGCTAGCAAAATTATTAAAGGATGCTTTTGATGGATCAAGTGTGATAGGTTTTCTCACCATCATTAGACAGAGTACTCTTAGATTCTTCAAAGTCTGGAAGTTCTTTAATTCTTTCTGGTGAGAATGCATGGGAAAAAGTATTTCCCTGTCCTAGAAATGCCCTAACTGGCATGGAGTTTAGCTAAATAGTGTTGGTTGATAAATAACAATAGATTATTGGGTTAATACATTAAAGTGTTTTCTTCTGGTTGAAGGACAGCTATTATAAGTGTGAAAACAGTCTCTGGGAGGTGATGCAGTATTTTGTGTTATGCTACATGTAAAATAGAGTTTCTCAAAGAGTAACTTCAACACAGCATGAGGGAAGAACAGTAGCTTGTTCCAAAAATAAGTATGTCAAGAGGGTGTTATTAGCCAAGCCCCTTAGTTAACGGTGGCTGATTTGTTACAAGTCACATGGAAATGTAACTGTGAACAGGCCCCTCACCATTAAGTATCAAAACGTATGACTCAGTTTTCTTTAATATTACAGATTATTGCATGTGGCAGTGACTTGAGATAGATGTCATAATAAGGGGCATTAGCTGTAGGCTCTTGCTCAGTTTCTACTAAGGAAAGTTAGTGCTTTAGCAGGGGAGCTGGGAAGTGTATTCCCCACCCACACAGAAGATTTTTCACTTCTTTCACACAAAATTAGCCTGAAAGAATTATTCCAAATGTAAAAAAATAATTTAATTTTACCCAGGTTTATTATTTGTATTGTATGAAAACCTTAGGATTAATCCAATGAAGTAACTGTTCATCTCCTAGGAAAGTGATTTCCATTATCATGAAAGCCAGAGTAAACTCTAAAGCTTTTTGGTGAACCTGAAAATCATGTTTTTTCTCCTTTTTCTTTAGCATTAAATTCCCCCTCCTTGATTTCCAGTTACAAATATTCCTTTGAGTAGCAATTCAGTTACCTTGAAAATGACATGTTAGTTTCTAAAGGGAATTTAATCATAAAGAATTCAACTGTGGCTTTGCCACACTCCCTGAGTAAGTGGCTTCGTATTATGGAGCTGTTTCTGACTGAGTAAGTGGTTTCAGATTCCGCATTTTTCTAGATCTATGGAGGACATCAGTTACAACCATTACAACTGAGTGAGTTTATGTACTCAGGCCATCCTCTTGTTCCTTTTCCATCGCTATGTAATGGCCTTCATCTGCAGTGTAACCACCACACTCCTCTTACAGCCACCCGCCAAATAGTTTGTTGAATCCGGAGTTGTTTCTGTGACATTAATTGGATCTATCCGTTGCTTGTCACATTTTAAAATCTGCAGAATTTGTTCTTGTGTCTAACGTGTCTTCATTTGCTTAGAGAAATCTTAGCCATACTGAATGTCAAATTATGTAGAGCCCTCCAGCATACATTTGTTTAGAATATGTACACAGTAAATATACATACAAGTCTAGTCATTTAGCAAAGCAGATGCAGGTAGTCATGTAGAAACTGCGGCCGTATGTTATACAGGGTGAAAAAGATTGCTCTGCAGCCTTATAGTTGAGGTTCTTCTGAAGAGAAGTGTTGATTTGAGAAAATGTAAGGAACTAGGCATCAGATTTTCTTGGAAATACCAGAATTTTGGAGCAAGGGTATGATAATCTATTACTTACCAGAGAGAGTTTTATGGGTTGTTGATTGTTTCTTCATCCAACCTTAGCAATGTGAACCTTCACAATTAGTATTTGTTTCCTCGCATTCACTAGCCCGGGAAAACACTTTCCCTTAGACATTTGTATGTTCTGGAACCTCAGGGAAAGTTTTCCTGTGGGAAGATGTTTGGGTACCATTGGGACAGTGCACAAATTAGAGCAGAACAGCCGGGTTCCGTAGTGTCTCATCCAAAACAAATCAAACCTGAGGATGATCCTTCAAGCGTGGTGGATGTTTTAGAGTTTGAGGATTTTGTGGGGGCAGAGGGAGCAGGAGAACCTGTGTATAGCTATATTTTCTCTCTGCTTACATGTCCTTAGCGCCCCTGCTAAGGTGAAAGTCTTTGCAGTTCTTCTGAAACAGAATTGTTTCTGAACAATTGTGTTTAGAATTGTGTCTTCCCCAAAATGGAATCACTCTTTTAAGAAATGAACTATGTTAAAGTGATCCGTTTTAGAATGTAAATGTATTTTCTGTCATTCACAGGAGTGTATCAAGTGTTATCAAAAGTTTAGCTACTTAGAGCTGATCTGCTTACTATTTTTCAAAACAGACTGGCCTTTTATTAGCTTTGTTCATTTGAAATTCAGACTAGATTTGGATCTGTGCAGCTCCCAGCACCAGGGCCATCGATAGGCTGTACTGATGTCATGTTTTCTGTTTCCTGGCTCAGACTCAAGATTGTCTGACTTTGCTGCTTTGTTGCAATGGCACAGAGAGCTGGCCATCGGGGATAATCCCAATTCCACTTCCCTTCTGTAGTATGCCTGTGATAGAAGGGGTCTCTACACCTAAGGGTAGACCTGAGGAGAGCAGTTGCTTACTCTTCAGCTTTTTCGTTCCTACTAACTTAACTAGGTGTAGTCCTTTTCTGAATCACACTCTTGGTTGAAACTGACATTACTCTCCACCTCCTTGCTGAAACATTTCTATAATGCTGGGTGCACAGAAATAAGTACTGGTAAGCGACCCATAAAACAATAATTTTCCATTATGTTAGATGAAAAATGCATATACTTCTGCAGGTCTACTTCACAAGTTCTTCTGTATGAGTTATAGACACATGAAAGAAGGTAATTCAGGAGTTATTTTTCACTCAGTGCTCTGAATATGGCTTAGGGTAAATACTTTTTTGATGGCTTGTTCTGAATATTTTTCACTTTTTATTGGTGAATTTTAACATGACCACTGGTTTAATGGATAAAGAGTAAACATAAATAATACATTATAAAGATTCAGATTTTCTCTGAGAGGCTAAATTTACAGTGTGTTGACATCAGATTAGTAACAAAAGTCACAGTGAACTAAAAGATATTCCATAAATCAGTATTGTTACATCTGATTAACTGATGCCAGCGTGTATGATTTATAAAGGTATACAAGTTGTATATATTCTCTCATAATCCAAATAATGACTATCAAAACGCTGGGGAAAGGAGTTCCTTAAGACTGCCAAAAGTAGCTCAAGCACACTTCTCACTTTTAAGCTTTTTCAAGGATATTAAATCATGACTGTCAGCTTTAAAATAAGATTATCATAATGGAACGTAATACGAAGTGACACTGTGTTCTACAATACAGGCATGGCAGAGAAAATACATTTTCAACTGTGTCTGACTTATTTACATTTCACATGAACTTAAATAATGTCACTCCTACACACACCTGAAGTACAGCTACATGAACAAAGCAAATTACGCCAAACGCCCTGCTGCACCAGAAAACATACTGTATTGTTCAAGCATGGACCCTTACTATATCCAAAGAGAATAGATTTTGAACCCTGCCATCGCTGATGGTACAAATTTGGTACAAAGCCAAAGTTAGTAAAGCTAAGATGAACAGAAGAGTCAGGAGACCTAGAAAAGTTAAGACTCTCCTAATGTGGATATTTCTTCAGAGAGTGAATAACTGATTATTTTGTTTCTATCACTTTAATTTCCAGGTGATAGTACACATTCTTTAATCAACAGAACTTTTAATGACCTAGCTTTAATTTCCAGGTGATAGTGCACATTCTTTAATCAACAGAACTTTTAATGATTTGGTATATGGCCCTCTCTGGAGCACGGTGTTGAAGCCTGTGGTTCTGAAATTGGAACATAAATGAGTAGGGCTAGGAGGAATACCCAAGAAGAACAGGGAACTGCTGGAGAGGGTACAGCAGAGGGCTACAAAGATGATGAGGGGACTAGAACATCTCTCTTATGAGGAAAGGCTGAGGGACTTGGGCCTTTTTAGTCTGGAGAAGAGAAGGCTGAGGGGGGATCTGATCAACACCTATAAATACTTAAAGGGTGGGTGTCAGGAGGATGGGGCCAGGCTTTTTTCAGTGGTGCCCAGGGACAGGACAAGGTAGCAGGCACAACCTTGAGCATAAGAAGTTCCATCTAAACTTTGAGGGTGGCAAAGCCCTGGAACAGGCTGCCCAGAGAGGTGGTGGAGTCTC